GGCTACTCCCCCCTGACCCCAAAACGGGTCCCACTCCCCCAGCTGGCAGCCATTCCCCCTCTCCTCCCAGCCCTGCAAGCAGGACAGACAGACAAGAGCCTGGGTCTGATGGACCAGGAGCCCCCACAGGACAGACACACGGGGACCCTTGCAGTGACACGCAGACCCCACAGCAGGACAGACCATCCACAGCACCCTGTTCTCCCGGCCAGGATGACAGACAGAGCAGGGCAGCTCACATTGCCTCTGCATTTTGAGCAACCTCAAAAGTACCTTCGACTGTATGAGGGTCAGCAGCCCCCACATGAAGCTGCTTCCATCTCCACCAGCCACAATTCCCGACCTGGTGGCACCTTTGTCTGCCCCCATGAGGCCTCACCTGCAGTGCTGCCTCCACGTCTGGGGTCCTCAGCACAGAAGGAATGTGGAGTGATGGAGTGAGTCCAGAGGAGACTGTGGAGATGCTCCAAGGGCTGGAGCACCTCTGCTGTGGAGACAGGCTGGGAGAGCTGGGGGTGTTCACCTGGAGAAGAGAAGGCTCCAGGGAGACCTTAGAGCCCCTTCCAGTATCTAAAGGGGCTGCAAGAGAGCTGGAGAGGGACTTGTTGGACAAGGGCCTGGAAGTGACAGGACAAGGGGGAATGGCTTCTGACTGACAGAGGGCACGGTTAGATGGGGATATTGGGAAGGAATTCTTTCCTGTGAGGGTGGTGAGGCCCTGGCACGGTTGCCCTAGAGAAGCTTGGCCTGCCCCATCCCTCCCGCAACCGCTCGTTCAAAGGCCCAGCTGGATGGGGCTTGGAGTCAACCTGTCCCTGCCTGTGGCAGGGGTTTGAACAAGACAAGCTTTAAGGTCCCTTCCAACCCAAACCATTTGAGGATTCTATGATTTTGTGATCTTCTCTTTAGACAGAGTTCTGTATTTCCATGTGCAGTGACCCCAGCTGCAAGGTTTCCCTTAACTTCTCCGTCCTCTGAGTAGGAAAGAGGTCACCAAGGCCCCAAGTTGATTTAGCATCAAACACATTTATTTCACTTTTATTGAATACAAGAACAGTGAGCACACACGCATACACCACTGAGCACTGAAAAGGAGTATGACCAAAGGGGGAGAGGGAGAACAAGGGAAGAGAAAAGGAGAGTTAGTGAAGGAACAACAGAGCATTGCAGTTGGTTGGTAAGGTGCTTCTCAAATAAAAATAAATATTATTATTGTTATTGTTATATTACTCATGCAATTGCAGGCCACGTTCAGAATGAATTTGTGGGATTGGATAAAAACAGGCACTCATGTCTCCCACCCCTTTCAACAGAAAGGCCCCTGGAAGAAAACAAGCAGTGACCAGCTATTAAAAACAGAGCGCAGTGATGGGTGGGCTTGAGCTGAGCATCAGAAAACCACACCTCACCCAGGGAACAAGCAGTGAGCTTTTTTCTTTCCTTTTTTTCCTTTTTTTTTAGAAAAGTTTTAGACACTGCCACCCATAAACATGCTTTGGGAGCCAGGGGCTGGGTTTGCTCACTGCAAACAGAACTCACTTCAGTCCAAGCACACATGAAGTCTAACTGTGTAAGGCCTCTCACTTCCACAGGAACCTTCGGTTTCCTGACTCTGCACAACGCCAAAAGCAAGTCTCGAGGGTCCCAGTGGCCCTGAGGGGGTTGTGGAGGTGTCCAAGGGCACTGTCCAAGCTGAGTGGGCTCCTCCATGTCTGAAAGATGCTGTGTGCTGCTGAACACCAGCACAGTGGGCAGACCACTAGCCCTCCAGCACCCCCTTACCCTCTGACAGTGCCATTGGTGGTCATGGCTGGCTTGGGTGCATTGGAAAAACAACAGAGAGAAAAGTAGCCTATGCAACTGCTTTAACTCTTTTTAGGTTGGGGGGGTCTGCTCTCTAAAAGTAGCTGAAGGTGCTTGGCTGGAAGCTGGGGAGACCCTCAAGAGCTGGCAGCCCTACCTGCTTGTGGTCATGCCTTCCATGCTTGCAGGAGAAACCACTCTGCCAGGAGAGCAGACTTCACAGGGACGTCCTGGTGAGCAACCGGTCAGTGCAACTGCCAGGGAGCAGCTCCCACCTGGGACAGTGGAGGTGGTGAGCAGGGTCTGTCCATGGCATCCTCCAAGCTGTGGCAGGACCTGACAAAACATGCCTATTTCTGGGCATGGTCTGTGTGAGGGGTAGGAGACTAAAGGCAAAATGGTGCAGAATCATGGGCCCTTCTGTTTCTGTAGGAGCTAGAGACGATTTCGAGAAGGAAACCCATTTATTTCCTTTCCTTTCTGGTTTTGGTTTTGAGTCTACCTTAACTGCCTGGTTCACAGTGTACAGAGGCCTGGGCTTGGTCCATGATCCCCTTCCAAAGGCAGCCATGGGGGGAGCCTGTGGCTGAAGGCCGAGCTGGGCTGAGCTGGGAGCAGCTCCACTGACACCTCCTCAACACACATCTGCTTATGCAGAGGGCCTGGGCTCCCCCATCCAGCCTGGGATGCTGCGGACGCTCTGCAGTGATGGACACAGTACGGTCCCTCCACTGCCCACTCCTAGGCAGGTCAGGGGAGGACTGCCACGGCCCTGCCATTGCTGTCCCCAGCCCAAGTGCCTCGGGCAGCCCTTGCCATCACACCTCAGGTAGCAGGGCAGACAGGGCAGAAACAGCCCCTCTGCCTTTGACACTACTACAAAGCTCAAGTAACTTCATTACTGGGATCCAGAAACAAAGCAAAACCACCCCCACCACTGGCAGGGCTGGAAGGGAGCAATGAACACAGTCCTGCTGATCCCATGGCTCCAGCTGGGGGCCAGGAGACCGTTCTGCCAACAGCTGTTACAGCTGGAGCCTCAACCCCCTTCCTTACCCCTTCGAGTCACTGCTGCCCCTCCAAATCTAACCACCATACACTGCAGATCAGCTGGAGGGACATTCCTGTCCCTTGCCCTTTCATTTCCCCCCCAACTAGCAGCAGCTGAAACCTTCTCAGTTCTCTTCTTGCAGGACTCAGAGTCCCATGTGTGATCTAAGAGTCTCAAAATACACCAACCACAGTCAATCAAAGAGTTAATAATTTAAAAATGTCGGCATCATATTTACCAGCACTGTTGAATTATTTCAGCATTGTTCCCTCCCTCCCCCTTTGTTATATATAATAATATACATAACTGAAATGCACATCCATATGAAACCCCACAGGTTGCTCTTTAGAGATGAGAAACCATATACATATCATTTTCTTTGTTTGAAATGAAATCCATTCCTAAATACCTTCAGAGAACAAGAGGTTGGACAAGTGCACAGAGAAGATAAGGAAGGGAAGGGGAAGAGTTAACAGAACCCAAAAAAATGCAGAAGAACCAGCATGGAATGAGGAGAAGGGCAAAACGACACTTGTGAATTGGAAAATAACTCTATGGTCATAAATTCAGAGTTTTTCTCTCTTCTTTCCAGAGGTGGGGAATAGTTTTGCTTCTGCTTGTGTTTTTTTACTTCAGTTTGCTTACTTCTTGCTTTGTTGCAAAGCAGTTTTCCTTTCCATTCAGTGTGCAACAAATGAACTCATGATTGTGTGTCCTTTAATGTAACATGCAAGATGGTTGCTTACTGTATTGTTACCGATACTATTGTTATTATTATTACTTTTTAAATCTTATTTGATCACCAATCCACGAAATTCTTCAATTTATCTGCAGTGGGTTGACTTTGTTTGTTGGTGGTGTTTTTTGCTATTCATTTCCAGCATATAGCAGCAGTGCAAGGATGCATTTTGTTTCCTGTTTTTATATATATATATATATATATATATGTATGTATGTATATATATATATAATATATTTGCTATTCCTTTTTTAAAAATTTTTGTCTCTTCGCCATGAACATTGCAGCTAGGATGTCTATGTCTTGCTGACAAATCCAGCATGAAGGCTCCTTCTCCCCTGTTCTCCAGGTTGGAATACAGATGTTGACTTTAAGGAACATGTTGGTCAAGATTCCTGTACAAGGCAGATGGAAAGGACCAGTCATGGAGTGCCAGTCCATGGAGTGCAAATCCATGAAGGTTCCTCTTTGTATGAGGGCACTGGACAGTAACTGCAAACACTTGGGGCCACAGTTTGCACTTAATTAGCAGGAGCTCTGGTAATTAGCAGGCATTCAGTCACTGGGCTGGTGTTGGTGTATGGGGGTGATAAGGGGGAGTCCCTGCTCCCTCACTTTAAGCCATTCAACTAAAACTGGGTGGCTCCTACGGGACAAGGGAGTGTCTGGGCTTGCTTGTCTGCACTGTGGGACAGGACATACAATTAGGCAGCTCTCCTGACCTTCTCAGCGGCATTGGAGCTCTTTGCTTTTCCAGGCTTAAAAGCTGACAATCAAAATATTCATATGATAAAGAAACAGAGATACACGTTTCCAAGGAGCCTCTCCAAATGCACCTGCACCCTGGCTGCCCCTCACACAGTTTTTGGCAGTGAGGCTCCCTCTCCTCTCCACCACGCACCCCTGCCTCCCACTGCTCTGACATGGGGGTCTGGTGGCTGTGCCACCCCCGAGGAGCTGATGGAGGGTAATGGGGTCAGAGCGGAGGGTTTGGAGTGGGGCAGGACTCCCCAAGCCCTGAAGAAAAGCATCTGGGGCTGTGACAGCTTTGGGGCAAAACTCAGGTGCTACTGCCTGCACCTGTGTGTGTAAAAACATAGCCTGGGGATCTGAGTGGGACTAAAACCTCTTTTTTGGAAATGCTTGTCTGATACTTTGGATTGCTTTGCCAGAACCTGTAGCCAAGTTTCTCAGCTCATCCAAAAAAGCTGCTGTCCCCCTCTTTCCCTCCCTGCCCCAGGGGGACAAGCATGTCCTTTTCTCTTTACATAGAAATGACTGTGAGCCCTGTGCTGAGCAGGAGAGCAAGGTGCCTTTTGGTGGAATGGCATCTGCTTTCTAACCACAACCAGGTGGCCATGCCCAGAGCCACCATGCCAAGAGCTGCCACTCAGTGCCGAGGGGCACCAACACCTGCAGCTGGTGGGGACCAGAGACATGTAAGCAGTTACCCTCCTTACCCAACAGATATAAATCACACCTGGCAGCTTCACTTACCTGAGGTTTCTTGTCCCTTTCCTCTGGAGAGGGATCTGTTTCTCTGTATACCACAGCTTTGGTTACCAGCATGTCAGGGTGCTGGAGTTTTGCCTCTTTGATTGCTAAAGCCAGTGCCTAGAAAACAGAAGGATTAAAGCATTTATACTCACTCCCCTGCAATCGGATACCCTGACCGCAACCAGAAAGCAGCTGGAGCTGAGTGGGATCCCAGGGAGCTGAGTGGGATTCCAGGAGGATAAGGATGCAGGGATTCAGAGCTGAACCCACAGCAGCCTGGCAGAAGAGGCTGGAGCCCAGCACTGATGGGGACCCCTTGTGCGCTGTCTTTCTCTTGCTGATTTTTCTGTAGAGATGTGCTTCATCCCAGGCTTCCTACTGAAGCCTGGGCAAAGGAACAGCAGCAAACCACTAGAAAAATCTACAAGAATTATCAGATTTATTATTATAATTCTAAAAATTAATTTAGATCCTTTTAATTACTTTATAATTTTTCTTCTTAAGCAACAAATCCCAAAGGGTTAGGCCACAGGAAAATGACCCCATGGCCCTAGAGATTTCTGTCAGTCTCTGTTATTTCATTGTGAAAGTGTGTCACTTTTTGTTCCTCTCACAGAGGCATCACCTGGAGTGAGACTGTGGTGGAAGAAGGAAAACACCTGGGTTACTTTGGAGTATTTCAACAAAGAAAGGGCACCTGGAAATGTGTTTTAAGACAATAAAAAGGTGATGCCCTCACTGGGCTCTGTGCTGGGATGTGACCTTTACTGCTGTGTCACTGTGGGAGCTGGGCTAGGTGTCGCTGCACCCATGGGGACCTGCCCTGCTGGAAAAGGTAGGGGCCTCAAGGGTCAGTTTTTGGAGAGAAGGAGTAAGGAAGTATGAGCCAGAAGTAGAACTATGCGGTGCAGCATCTGGGGACAGGCAGAGCTAGGCAAAGCCAGGGTGTCCTGCTCCTACCTGGTCCTGGTCCACATCTTCATCTCCTGTGATAATGATGCGCTTCTCTATCCGGGTCTCAGAAAATCCCCCTTTCACAGTCTGCACAAGGAGAAAGAAAGCACAAGCACTCACCCCAGCTGTGCCACTAGCCAGCTCTGGACGGGTGTAGCTATGCCCACGTGAGGAGGGACAACACCAGCATCATCCTGGGAACTGACCCCGTAATTCAGCAGATCTCCCACTATCCATGACTCAGTGCATGGTAAGAACTAATGAGACAGAGCTGGCCACAGGTGAGAGGAAGGAAAAGGGTTGGGTGGCAGGTGCCAAGCACCCCTCCTTCTGCTCAGGTCCCTCACTGAGTTTCTGCTATCATTTATAGAATCATAGAATCACAGAATAGATTGGGTTGGAAAAGACCTCCAAGATCATCAAGTCCAACCCCTGATCCAACTCCATTTACTATATCATGGCACTAAGGGCCACGTCCAATCTCTTTTTAAAAACCTCCAGGGATGGTGAATCCACCACCTCTCTGGGTAGGCCATTCCAATGCCTGATAACCCTCTCTGTAAAGAATTTCTTCCTAACATCTAACCTAAACCTCCCCTGGCAGAGCTTGAGCCCATGTCCCCTTGTCCTATTGTCGGTTGCCTGGGAGAAGAGACCAACCCCGCCTGACTAAAACTTCCCTTCAGGTAGTTGAAGAGAGTGATGAGGTTGCCTCTAAGCCTTCTCTTCTCCAGACTAAACAACCCCAGCTCCCTCAGCCTCTCCTCATAGGACTTGTGCTCAAGTCCCTTCACCAGCCTCGTTACTCTTCTCTGGACCCGCTCCAGCACCTCAATATCCTTCCTGAACTGAGGGGCCCAGAGCTGAACACAATACTCAAGGTGTGGCCACACCAATGCAGAGTACAGGGGAAGGATCACTTCCCTGCTCTTGCTGGCCACAGTGTTCCTGATGCAGGCCAGGATGCCATTGGCCTTCTTGGTCACCTGGGCACACTGCTGGCTCATGTTCAGCCTCCTGTCGATCAGCACCCCCAGGTCCCTTTCCGCCTGGCTGCTCTCCAGCCACTCTGTGCCCAGCCTGTAGCGCTGCAGGGGGTTGTTGTGGCCAAAGTGCAGGACCCGGCACTTGGCCTTGTTGAACTTCATTCCATTGGAGTCAACCCATCTCTCCAGTCTATCCAGATCCCTCTGTAGAACCCTCTTGCCTTCCGGCAGGTCGACACTCCCCCCCAACTTGGTGTCATCTGCAAATTTGCTGATGGTGGACTCAATCCCCTCATCTAAATCATCGATAAAGATGTTAAAAAGGACTGGGCCCAGCACTGACCCCTGGGGAACACCACTGGTGACTGGCCACCAACTGGATGCAGCTCCATTCACCAGCACTCTCTGGGCCCGGCCCTCGAGCCAGTTCCTGACCCAGCACAGAGTGCCCCTGTCCAAGCCGTGGGCTGCCAGCTTTTCCAGGAGTATGCTATGGGAGACAGTGTCAAAGGCTTTCCCTCATCCACCAGGTGGGTCACCTGATTGTAAAAGGAGATCAGGTTGGTCAAACAGGATCTGCCCCTCCTAAACCCATGCTGGCTGGGTCTGATCCCTTGTCCATCCTGTAGCTGCTGTGTGATTTCACACAGGATAATCTGCTCCATAACTCTGCCAGGCACTGAGGTCAGGCTGACAGGCCTGTAATTACCAGGGTCAGCCTTGCAGCCTTTTTTATGGATTGGAGTGATATTTGCCAACTTCCAGTCATATGGGACCTCCCCAGTGAGCCAGGATTGTTGGAAGATGATGGAGAGCGGCTTGGCAAGCTCTTCTGCCAGCTCCCTCATTACCCTAGGATGGATCCTAGAATGGATCACAGAACCATTTAGGTTGGCACAGCCCTCTAAGATCATCAAGTCCAACCATCACCCCAGCACTGCCAAGGCCACCACTAACCCATGTCCCCAGGTGCCATAGCTACACATCTTTTGAATTCCTCCAGGGATGATGACTCCATTACTGCCCTTGGCAGCCTGTTCCAGTGCCTGACCACCTTTCAGTGAAAAAAACTGCCGTAATATCCAGTCTAAACCACCCCTGATGTAACTTGAGGCCATTTCCTCTTGTCCCGTCACTTGCTGAATATGAGTCAGCAGTGCCCTGGCAGCCATGAGGGCCAACTGTGTCCTGGAGGGCACCAGGCAAAGCAATGCCAGCCCGTTGAGCTCTGCTCTGTACTGGGGCGGCCTAACCTTGAATATTGTGTGCAGTTTTAGGCATTACAATATAAAAAGCCATTAGAGAGCATTCAAAGGAGGCCACAAGGATGGTGAAGGGTCTTGAGGGGAAGCCGTGTCAGGAGCGGCTGAGGTCACTCGGCTTGTTTAGCCTAGAGAAGAGGAGACTGAGCTCAGACCTCACTGGGGTCTTCAACATCTTCCTGAGGGGCAGGTGCTGATCTCTTCTCTCTCTGACCAGTGACAGGATCTGAGGGAGCAGCTGGAGCTATGTCAGGGGAGGTTTGGGTTGGATATCAGGAAAAGGTTTTTCACCCAGAGGGTGATCAGGCACTGAACAGGCTCCCCAGGGCAGCCCCAAGCCTGTATGAGTTCAAGAAGCATTTGGACAACTCTCAGGCACATGGTGGGATTGTGGGGGTGTTCTGTGCAGGGTCAGGAGCTGAACTTCACTGATTCTTGTGGGTCCCTTCCCACGCAGCATATTCTACGATTCTGTGATTGTTACCTGGAAGAAGAGTGTGTACTTAATTTGGGGATGAAATGGCTATGGGTGAGATCCTCTGCTGCAGCCTTGTCTCCTTCACTGCCCATGGCCCACACTGGGCTGCATGCCCGCCTGACACCTGGCTGTCCTTGCCTGCTGTCCCCTGTGGTCACACCGGGCTGGCTGGGACAGGCAGCGCACAGGGGTGAGCCACGGACAGGGCACTCAGAGCGGGGCACTGTGCAGGCTCCCCATTCCCATGGGACAGCACACCCCTTTTGGCTTGTAAGGAGGAGAGGGGCACTTTCTGCTGTACTAGTCACAATATAAATCCACCCATCCTCTAATTCCAGTGGCTTTCAAGACCCTCTGGCTGCTCCCTCTAGAGCTGCTCTCACCTTGGTTACATGGGTGGTGGTGGAAGTAGAGAGGGTTTCTGCAGTGGCACTGAATATGCTGGTGAGCATCTCCTTCCCAGAGGAGCCGCCGGAGATCTGCGGGACACAGAGCAGTGGGATCAGGGGGCTGTCACAGAGGAGCCCCCAGTGCTGGCTCCTGAAGAGCTGGGACCTTCCCATTGGGATGTACCTATTCAGCCAAGCATGAAAGAGGAGAGTGGCAAGGGGAAAAGGTACTGCATTGTGCTTCCAGTTGGACCAAGAGGTTCTGGGGGGAAAGGAAGATGTTTCCACAGGTACACCAAGCCCAGAGCTCCTAAAAAGGGCCTCTGCAGTGGGCAAGAGGGTCTCATGGCCGTTTTTTGCTCTTCCCCACCTACCCCCAGGGCCACCCCAGCACACAGGTCTCAGGTTGCTTCTAGCTCTGTTCATCCTGCTGTGTGTGCTGAGGGCTGGGAATGCTGCGCTGGTGCCCTGGCCCCAGTGCTGGCTGTGTTCTCCCTGCAGCACACAGAGATGAAATTGGGGCAGCATATAGTGTTTGGCCAGCCTGGACTCCATTGAAACAAGGTGATGGAGTAAGAACTCCCTTTTCAGAGGAAGGCCTGCTGCTGGGCAGGGTGTTGGTGGCCATCAGCTCCACTGGGAATCGGAAGACTTTGTGTTTGGCCTTGGGTGGCTGCACAGGACACCCAGGGCTAGGAGTATCACAGCCCACTGCACCAGGGGCCAGGTATTTTTTGGGAATTATCCTTCTCAGGCAGATACTCGAGGTGTGTATCTGGCATAGGAAAAAGGCCACAGGCTGAGGTCCCCTGCTGTCTTGCTCCCCATCCTTCTGAGCATCCTTCTGCTCTTCCCAGTGCCAACATATCAGCCAAGGGTGCCAGTGCTGGGAAGATGGGAAGGGCTCCTCACAGCCCCACAAGGCTGCCTTCCTTCCCCCACCCTCCCCCCAAGTCTTGGCCTGGCTAGTGGCACCATGTCCCCCCCTCACCGGTGAGAGGGAGCGAAGGTCTGTGGTGGAAGTGGCCCCTTTCCCAGCCTTGGTGCTGTGATCCTGAAAGAAGAACAGATGGGCACGTTGGCTCAGACACAACATGGGGGCAAACATGGCAGGTCACCCTGCACAGACACCCCTGGTGGGGCAGAGTGCCCCATAGCACAACTGGCCCCAGTTGCCCCTGCTGGAGCAGAGGGACCACAGGAGACAGTGGTTCCTCTGCCCCTCCAGAGGCCAGTCCCACTTACTGAGGTCACCAGCGCCATCTCTGTGGTGCCAGCCTGGGCAGTGGCAGTGGTGTCCCTGCTGCCTGGGGTGCCTCCGTCCACCTGCTGGGGCAAAGGAAACCAGGTGAGCTTGAAGGTGCCATGGAGTAAGTGACACTCACAGTGACAGTGTGGCTGTCCCTTGCTGCCAGAGGATGCCAGGGAGGGCCATCAGGCCACAGACACATGCAGCGCAGCTGGTGGCTGTCACCCTCTGGAGATGTTCCCGTGTGCCAGCACTGTCCAGCAGCATGGCAGACGGGGCCAGAGACACAGAAAATATCTCTGGGTGGGCTTTGGTTAGTGTTTCGGGGACTTTAGCAAGCCAAGGGTGAGCAGAGGCCCCAACCACCCTATTCAGCCCGCCCACCCTCCCAGCTGCCTGAGGTTTGGCACTGGGGAGCAGGGCCACAGGAAGACAGATCCACCACATCACCTGGACTGTGTCTGTGGTGCTAACCCGGTGGGGAGTAGAGCCATCTGCTTCAGGCTTCTTCACACCCAGCCCCAGGCTGACCATCACAGCATCTGTTTTTGGGGCTGATGGCTGCAGGAGAAACAGAGCGAGTCAGGCCCTGGGGCACAATGCCAGTAGCTCTGAGTGCCCTGCCCATGGCAGGGGGTTTGAACAACATGATCTCTAAGGTCCCTTCCAACCCAAACCATTCTGATTCTATGCTCCTTGTACACCAGGCCCCCTAGCAGAGCAACCCTGACATGCACATCTGATGTCCTGCAAGTGTCCCACTGAGCCCTACCCTGCAAAGAGCAGGGGCCAGGCTGCCGCCCTGGGCAGACAGCCACCACCCACAGTGCCCTGTGACCCACACACCCCAAATGAGACCCAATGCCCTCTATCTGGGGTTTTCTGGGGTTTTTTGGATAGATCTATAGAGACACCATGGGTTAGTTCAAACTGGTCTTCAAAAGGTACGTGAGACCCATCAAATCTGTTTCACCCATGTCCTGCAGCCAGTTTATGATCTGCACCAGCTCTGGGAGGCTCTGGTTACACCTGGGGTGTCAGAGCCTCAGGGGAACAGAGACAGGCTTCCAGCACTTCCCCACTACAGGAAACCGGTACTACCAAGGGCACAGGCGATGCTTAGCCAGTGCTCAGCATTCCCAAGCCAGCAGCCCCCTGCCCACACTAGCCGTGGGGCACGTGGAGCAGATCTCCCATGACTATGGCATCAGATGCTCTGCACAAGGTTTTTGGGCTGTCTCAGAGAAAGCTCCCTTTAATTCTGCAGCTTTTTCCTGGTTCCAGCACCCTGGCAGCTCTGGGCAGGACTAGGGACATGCCTGCCAGGGCTGGAGTCTGCCCCAGGCTGCCCAGGCAGGAAGTGGCCCTGGCCCAGCACAGAGCTAAGGCCACATTTCACTGCACTGCAGCTGGCTCTACCATCCTCTCCCTGTGTGTACACTCATCTGTCACATGCATGCACATGCATTTTTGTTAGCCCTGTTATAATCCCTCCCAGCACAGGAGTGACTCTCCAGGAGCTCTGATGTGACTCCCACGAGGCACTTGGTAAATCCCTCCCAGCCTCAGCATGACCAGAAAGGTTAGTGGGCAGCACATGGCTCTTCACTACACAAACTGGTCACTGAATTCATGCAAGACACGAGACCAGTGCCAATGGTTAGTGCCACGTGCCCTTCCCATGGCATGACATGCTGTCGTGGGGCAAGGGACAGGGCAGCCAAACACAGGGGACCAAGAGGTGACAGTGACTTCTCCTGGCTAGCAGATGCAGGAAGCACGCAACAGAGCCATGCACCACAGACACAGCATGCATTGGGGAAATACACCAGGCAGGAACTGAGGGGGTTTGGAAGCCAGCGTGCTCCTCCAAACCAGCTGGAAGTGCACTCCAGGGAGGCAATGTCAGGCACCGGCACAAGGAACACGGAGGCACGATGACACTGGGACCGTCTTGGTGAATGGTGTTCCTGGGTACCTCTAGATGGGAGACATCTGGGCTAGGCTGGGAGACCTTCTCCCTGCCTTTGACATCCTCTTCCAGTCCAGGAACTACTTTGTCAGTGTGCTGGAAGGAAACCAGGCCTTCGTCTTCCATTTCGCTCTTGTCTTTGTCCAGCTCGGGCAGGCTTCGTGAGATGTCCTCAAAGGCTGTGCCATGGAAGTCACTGATCACAGTGAAGTCCACCTCTGCTTCCAGGCTGGAGGTTGAGCTGACCGTGATGCTGGAGCACTTGCGCTCAATGGCCAGGTGGTTGTCCTTCAGGAAGACTGAGTCCTTCTCCTGGTCAGGCTCCTCGTCGCCGGTGTCGCTCTCGGGGGCCCTGTGCCGAGGTGGTTTAGGTCTCTCCTCGGTGCCCTCCCTCACACCCGCTCTCTGAATGAGACACAATGTCGGAGAGAGACGGAGCCCATGAACACCACGTGGCAGCGCTGGCAGTGCTGGCAGGGGCAGGGGAGTAGGAGGAGGAGGAGGAAGGCTGCAGCAAACATCACAGAGTAGAGTCAAACACAACTCAAGCATGGAGACCGAAACCTTTCTGACAGCAGCGGCTTTGCAGCGGGGTGGGGAGAGAAGGCTACTCAATTTGATGGTGCCAAAAATCTATTGCTAATTAATCATCTCAGAAAGGGTCAGTCACACAAGAAAGCTCGGCCAGCTTGGAGGCACATCAGTGCACCAGTGGAAGCAGATGGATGCAAAACAATGGGTCTGTTAGGAGACATTCAGAAGGAGCTCAGATGCTGGGGCTATTGTATATCAGTGACTCAAAAAAACAAATGAGGGAAAGAGAGAAGAGTTTGAAAGAAAAGGGCCCATCAGCCAGGCACAGTGAGGGAGAAGGAAAGTAGTGTGTTAATTCCACTGAACATCCACTTGGCCCTGCAGAGCATCCTCACCCCAGGGTGAGGACCAGCCCCACCAAAGCTGCCCACCAGCTGCCCTGGGGTGAGTCTTCCCCACTGATACCACCTCCCCCTCCAAAGGCCTCAGAGGAGTCTCAGGGGTGACCTGACTAAGTGTCTGGTCAGTGTAATTGACAGCATGGTCAGAGCCAAGGGATGTCCTCCCTCCATCAGCTCTGCTCTAGACACAGACATACCTCTCAACTCCACCATCAGAGGGTATGTATCCCCTCGCCACGCTTTGCCATGAAGCCATGGGAAATCTAGACCCAGCTAGACTCAGTTCTCCCTTAGGAAGACCTCTAAGCCCACTAATCCCAGTGGAAACCCACCTCCTGACCTTGGTCCCAAGTGTTTGTAGCCAGAGCCATATCCCCTATGGGCCAGGCTGTGCTGGCACACCCTTCCCTCAGCAGAGCTGGGAGGTTGAGAGGTATGAGAAACAGGGTGTCCAAGAGCCCCAGGAGGAACACGCAGACACATTCGTGTGTGTGTGTCTGTATCAATACATACAGAACAGCCCTGCAATAGGAGCGGAGCTGGCAGCACAGCCCTCGGCTGCACTCATACTGCAGAGAGAAGTACTTAGTAAAACAGCACTGAGACCTGGGAGACCATTGGAACAGCAGTCTTTAAATTCTCTTCTTTCAGGCTGGATTTTACTGATGGGTCAGATAAATCCTTTTCTCTCCCATTTAGTTCCTGAAATTTGCTCTGGATTAGAGAAAAGAGTTAGTTGTAAGGAAATGAACTCTGCAGGAGCTGATCTAGCACCCACAAGAACAAGGAAAGCTACTTCATCACCCAGCCACCAGTTTGCTGAAGACAAGGGAAGGGTGGGGAGGCTGGTGAGCCAAGCAAGAAGGGGTATCAACGTAGGAAATGCAAGGGTGAAGCTGAAAGCATGGACACGCTGCTGCCGAGGGGTGCGTGCCCGTGACAGTCGCAGCTCCTTCAGCCACCCACCGTCGCCCTTTTCGGCTCCTGGACATAAAGCTTGGCTGCCTGCTCTTGGGTTTAGCGAGCGGCATTCTCCAGGGAGCCAAAATGTTCAGGGATCGCAAAACAAAAGCTGATGAACCAACCGGGCAGCAGGTCTGCATGCAGCCAGTAAGCCTGACCACACAAACAGACAGAAAGGACAGGGATGCAAAGCGCCTGCTGTCAGTCAATGGATGTGTGAGGAGCCACTGGACATAGTCAGAGAGCCACAAAACATGCGCATGAATGTCCCATTCGGACAGTTCATTGGAGTTACCATGGCCTCAGCCAGGGTGAGCTCGCAGCCAGAGTCAGGGGAGGCCAGATCAGCACTGTCTTCTTTGTGCTCCAGATCAACAGAGAGATCTTCCTTCAGGGAGTGAGGCTGGGAGATGTCTCCTGAACCAGCCCCTTGCCCAAGGGCCAAGGAGCTCACACTGGACACAGGTTCCACCGCTGGTGGTGAGGCAAGGTAGGTGCTCAAAGGCATGTCCTGTGCCAGACCTGTCTTCCCTTTCACTGATGTCCCAGCTTCAGGCACACGCTCTTGTCCCTCCTGGGCCTCCCTTCGCTCCACTTCATTTTGCTCGAACATCTTTATCTTAGAGGCCACAGAGGTTTTCCCGTAGCTCTTGCTGTCCTCCCAGCTTCCTGGGGCCACGTTGACATCTCTGTGCCCCTGGGACACAGCACCTGCCTGCCCAGCCACGCACACCAACGACTCAGGCTCTGTTTGATGTGTCCCACCACTCACTTGCAGCTCTTCTCCACCTTCATCCACCAAGGCAGAGAGCCGGAACGTCTCACTTCCTTGGCACAATCCTAATACAGGGGACTGGAAGTGTGAGACGTCAGCAGCTTCTTTGGGAAGAGAGTCATTCTGCAGTGGTTGCCCTGGAGCTAGGTCACTGGCCCTGGTGGTTTCTCCTACTGTTGGGCTCCTGCCCTGCAGATCTTGTCCCACATTAAACTCTGAGTCCCAGTGTGGCTCCTGTGCTTTGGGATCAGCAATGTGAAGCAGCTCCCCAGCCATGGAACCCTCTTGGGGCAGGTCTCTCATGATGGCCTCTGTCTGTTTTTCTGGTTCTTCTGCTTGGGGTGGTAGCCCTTTCACACCAGGGCTTTTATCTTGGGGCAGTTCTTCCATCTCACAGCCTTCATCTCCAGTCAGCCTCCCTGATGTGGGCCCCAAACCTTGGAAGAACTCTTTTATCATGGGTTTCTCCTCCTGCAGTGGCACTTTGGGGGCAGGGACTTTGCTCTGTGCTGTGGCAGGGTCCATGTCCTGAGCCACCTCCCTGGTGGCTGTGTCTCTGACCTGGACTGACTCTGCTGCAATATCTGTGTTTTGGGGTGGTTCTGCTGCACCAGGACTTGTTCCTTGTTGTGGTTTCCATGAGGTAAATCCTGTATCTTGGTGTTGTTCTGCAGATTCAGGATCAGTTTCCCTGGGTAGTGCCACCTCCACGGAGGGGCCCATATCCTTGGGCATGCCCACCCCTCTCACAGGGCTGGTGTTCTGGGACAGCTCTGTGCCCTTGGGCTTGGTGCCTGGAGCTGGATCCACAGGGACAGGGCTGGATTGCTGGGGAATGGGTGGAGGGGCAGGAGCACTGGGTTTATTTCCCTCCAACCCCACAGTGTGAGCATGGCCTGGCCAAGACACAGCTGAGAGAGGAGACTTGGTCTCTATCTCTTCCATCTGAAGAACCACTCTGGCACTTTCCTCCTTGTCACCATCTGCTCCCAAGAGCTCCTCCCCTGCTGTGCACTGTGCTGGGCTCCCTCTGTGCTCCTCAGCCCCGTGGCCATCCCCTGCCAGGCCACATGGCTTTAGGCCTCCCACTGGGCTCTGCAGCTCTGTCTCCTCTGGTCCCACCTCCTGGGAATACAGCAGGGCTTCACTTCCTGCAGGTGCTCCATAGCTGGGCATCCCAGCAGATGCTTTCTCTGGCTGCAGGGACAACTCCTTCTCCCACCCTGAGAGGGTACGTCCCACCAGGTTGGTCCTGTCACAGCCCATCCTGGGCTGCTCTGGTGCTCCAGTAGGTTTTCCAGACACTGCCCTGTGTTGGTGACTTGCTGAAGAAGGGGGTTGGAACCCTTCTGCTGCAGGTGTTGCGTGCCCAGATCCCTCCCTGGATGTGTTCACTGTGGCTTCTGGTATTTCCTCCAAGCCAAGCCACTCACTGGTGTCCAAGACAAGTTGTGTTTTACTGTCCTTCTCCTCTCCCTCTGGATCTCCTAAGTAGATGATCCTCTGGGTCGCAGAAGTCTCTGAGCTGTCATCTCCAGCCTTCACTTTGGTTTTCAGGAGCTCTGTGGCAGTGCCTGGCACTCTGGCCTCCTGTTTCCTGGAGGCTGCAGAAGCATGCTCATTGGAGAGCACCTTGCCTTCTCCCTTGGGATGCTCTGGTCCTAAAATCCTGGCCCTTTGTCTCTCTTCAGGCTGTTGACAGGGCTTGGGCAGCCCCGGCTCACCACTGGCTGCTCCTTCACCCTGGGGCTCCTTCTCTGTGCTGTCAGTGGGCAGATGTGCTGTCTCTGGACTGTCTCTGCTTTCCTTCTCATAGATCTCATCCTCCCAGACAGACTCAAAATCCTCGGGACTGGCAATCATTTTGGCTCTCTTCCGTGTGTCCAGGGCTGCAGCTGAAGGCTCTTCCTGGCCTGTCACTTCCTTGGCTTTCCCTACTGCCACCTCCACCTTCAACAGGCTCACACTCGTGTTCACCTCCGAGGTACCTGCACGTGATTCTTCCTTCTTGACTCCCAGAGCTTTCCTCAGAGCTACTGCTTCCAGCCTAGGGGCTTCTCTCTCTATAAATACCCAATGCTCTGAGCCCTGCATTGCAATTGGAGCAAGAAGAGTTAAATGCATCAGACACACCGCACCCAACTGCTGCTGGCACAAGTAGCACGGCTGGTCTGCCTCACACAGCAATGGCTACGTCATTATTATTATAATTCTAATTAGTAGTATTAGTAGTAGTGTTCTCAATGTTATAGTTGAAACAGGGTCTATACAAAGATCCTGGTAACTTGCTGAGGGAGATAGGGACTGAAAATAAGGGGCTGATGCCATGATAGGGAATAAGCCACTGTCTCCAGCTGGGCCCCCCTGTTTTCAGCTGGCTATAGCAATTCCCAGGGGTGAGATTTCATTGGAAGCAAGGGTCTGTGTTTTGGGTAGCTTCACGCTCAGCTTCATCCACGTGCCCTAAGAATATGTCAGACTGCCAACAGCATGAGCAAGGAAAGAAACCACCCTTAGCCATCAGAAAGGCCCTTTCCCCTTCCTACCAGATGCTGCAGCTCAGATTCCCCCCAAAGACCATCCCTCCTTTCCAGCTCATCAGGGACATCTCCAGAAGCCATAACTGAGCAGAGGTTTCCAGCAATGCTGAAACCAAGCAGTTCAGAAAATGTAACCTGTAAAAGGTTACCTGTCAAGTGTAAAAGACCACAGGTTTGGCAGCTGAGACAGGTATAGGGGCTGCAGCAAGGACCAAGCAAAGGCTGTGAAGAGTCCTGCATGGACACAGCATGGACACAGCAGGAATGTGGCACACCACACCATGTATCTGTGATGTTGGTGGGGGGATACCAGGTCACTGCTGCTATGGACACCTAGTACATCCCATGTTTGTCCTGCAGGTCAGCAGAAGGCTTCACGAGTGCCAAGAACGAAGCACTGTTAAAATCCAGCCACTTCTGGAACAGCCAGTAGAACGTAAACCACAGAAATATAGTGGCAGGAGAACGTGTGCACCATGAGGCAGCCCAGCGGCCTCTGCAGCTGCCCCAGGGAGCACACATGGGGGCAATGCTGGGGGCTCACCGTGGGGCTGGCACTGCCCATGGCACAGCCTGCCCAGGCAGAGCTGCCTGCAGCAGAAGCAAGGATGGCCCTTGGGGGCACCAGGATGCGCTCCAGTCCCAGCGAGAGGGCTGGCTGCCCACTCCCTGCTCAAATCAGGAACAATAATCCATGGAAATGTGAGCCATGACCCATTCAGGAAGAATGTTTGGAGCAGTTGCACCCAAAATGGAAACCTAGTGACTTATACTGGATAATGGGAAACACATGGGCAGAGGGGAGCAGAGCCAGAGGGAAGGTAAGAGAAGATAACATCAGAAGAGAAAGAAAGGAAAACCAGATACTAGTGGTAGGGCTTCCACAAGGAAATAGGTGAAAGTCCCTGGCAGAAAAATGCCATTCCCAGCTCCTGCCTTCTTTACCAGCTGCCAAAGGAAGCACAGATCCCTCAGCACAGTGCCCCAGGTATTGCCCTGCAGCACCCTGCAACAGCCCCTCTGTCTGTCCCCATGCCCTGGGCTTTGCCAAGAGCCTGGCAGCCCCTGAAAATCCCCCTGAGTGCCCACAGAGAAGCACACAGGGGGCTGTGCTGGGGTACAGCCTGCTAGTCCCCAAGTAAACACCCAGCCCTCTGAGGACACGGAGGTGCTGGCTCCTTGCAGTGCCAGGACAGTTATGGGGTTGGCCCTGTGCACTGCCAGCTGTGCTCCTCGCAGGGCAGGAAGGTCACTCTCCTCCACTGGTGGCAGATGGATCCTTGCCAGGGACTCTGCCATGGCAACTGCACCCTGCCATGGCCAGGCTACCCTGCTGAGCAGCCAGGTCTGAAGCAGACCCATCCCTCCCACCTCCCCACAGCATCGCTCGCATGAGCCTCTCCCATATTCCATCACGGTGCGCTCTCAAGCACCATCTGCTCTCCAGGTCCCTTCCTCTAGACCTGCCTCCAATGCAGATTTTGCTTCTTCTTAGTCTGCGGAAATCACAATAGAGCGCGTCGGTGCCTTTCATGAGCACCAGGTTGCACCTTGGATGTTCACAGCCAGGTCTGACCTGTAACGGCAGCATCATCCCTAACTGGGCAGCTTGCTGGGCTGCTGGGATGCCCAGGCTGGTTTCTGGTATTCCCTCAGCACATCCTTCCATTCAGCAGCAATGCTCATGGGCAACTCAGCCAGGAGACTGCTCACTTTCCTGAGGGTGCAGCAGTTTCTCTCCTGCTCCTGCCCTGTGGTCCCATTGCTGAACCTTCTCTCAGCCAGGACAAGGATGGACAGGTTGTGGGCATACGTACAAATTTCTTCAGCAAAGCCCTCTCACACCTCTTCTCCAGCTGCAAACCAGTCTTTTGGAGGAGACCTTCCCTGGGCAAAGATGAATTTCTTTGGGCTGCTTCTCTGAGTTAAGGCCTGAGATAGATAGATCAAAAACTCTGCTGAAGCCTGGAACAGTGTCTTCATCCATGACAGCACCTCTTCACCAGTAAGGAATACCCCAAAGCTTCAGATTTATTTCTAAACCAGCTTCCTTCTCCTCAGACTCTTGGGTGAGCCCAGTCCAAGGGAATAGTCAGGTACTCTGTGGTGTGCGGGAGTAGTTGACTGAACTCTGCTCTGGAGGGCTCAATGCCAGCTCTGGCCACAGCTCTGGTTCCACAGCTTGTGACAGCCCTTGTGTCTCCAGAGCCTGAGGACTCTTGGAGCAAATATCTGGATACTTGGGCATGTCCTCCAGCAAAGCAGAGAACTTGTGGAGCTTTGGAGGTCCATGGGCTGGCAAGACAGAGTATGTGCCAAGGCAGAGCTGAGGCTCAGAAGTGATGATACTGGGAAGGGTCTGTCCATAGACCAACCTTGACTTCCCAAGCGATAATTTACTTTCACACTTCCCTGCCCTCTCTCCCCTCAAATCATCTGCTCTAGAAACAGGAAGGCCATTCCCACTGTGGCCTATGCATCACAGGAGAGTAAGCTGATAGAGTGGGAAGAGGTGATATCAGGGAGCAGAGACAGCCTTTGCCCCTGCCAATGAGGGCCACAACCTGGGAGAGCCCAGGGCATGCAGGAGGCTTCTCCCTTCAGATCCTTCAATGTCTCTTCTGTTCTTTGCTCTCAGAAGTCTCAGCTCACCCAAGAGGAAAGCACAAGCCTTGTGGCAAGAATGAGGGAATCTGAGATGTTGAGACAACACACTGGACTGTTTTACCACTTGAAGCTGGAGAGGCTCCTGGCACCTCACAGCACAACATTCCAGTCCTGCAGCAGCAGTGGGGATAGAGGGATGGAGGGAAGGGTCAACATGTATGGCTAGGGGTGATAGACTGCTTAACCTCAGTGGGCCTGAAGCCCATGGGAACTGAGGGACTTTCCGGCTGTCATGAGAGATCCAAGCTCTGCAGATGTGCTGTCCTCATGCCATCACCCTCTTGGGGCCATGAATTCCTCATGGAGACCACCGGTCAGGGGAGGACAAGTTCCCACATATCAACTGCTGAGTCTCAGCCACTGATGCCTGGAGAGAAATCACCGGTGAGGCCACCATGGCACTTGTAGATGGATACCTGGCACCCCAAGGGTTTTCAGGGAGCAGAGGACAAGACTCTGAATCCAGAGATGTGTGTGCACCTCACTTCTGCTGTTTCTGTCCTCCAGCTCTGAAATACTGGCACACAGAGAGTGCCAGCAATGAACAGGAGACACTGCTGCAGAGCCCTTACTGAAGCCCAAGGCTGTGCCCAAGCCTCCCTCACACCCATCTGGGGACTGCTCCAGTCAGCCCAGGTTCAGGTTCTTGCCCATGCTGGCAATTTGCATAGACAACGGGCGATGACAGGGAGCAAGAGTGCACTCAGCCTTGCCCCTGCCCCATCTGCCCCCTCTCCCACACTGCCTCTGCCCCTCCCTGGGCCGCTCAGGCCGGACGTGCTCCCCAGCACCACTGGGCCAACCCTTGGGGCCTGCGGCCAATACACCAGAACCAAGGCTCAAACACCAGCTTCCTTCTGCTCAGTGAAGGTACCACTCTTGGTCCCTGAAGGTCCAGGAAAACACCCCTTCATCTGAGATAAACTGGCACACAAGCAATGCCAAGAGCCCACGCTCCTCACCCATGGGTACCACGTGAGGACATGGATGGCAGTATGACCCTGCTGTGCGCAGGAATGAGTCCAACACACCTGATGCCTCCAAAGATGCCCCTCTTCAGGCTTCCTGGGCCCAGGGAAAGTACAAGGGATTGCTAAGAACAGCTTGAGGCTGCCTGCCTGGACCTGGAGCAGCCACCAACAGAGTGCCTGTGTCATTGGGTCACCCTTGCCTTGGGACCCTCAACAGTGGGCTCCAGCATGGCCCCACACCCAGCAGGGCTGCACTGGGAGGTCTTTCCAGGGCCCCATCTCACATCCCAGCCAGAACAGTCAGGGGAGCAGGTTTCACCAATAGCCCTGTCCTGTGAGGGGTCCTGCCCGTCACCAGAGAGGGGACCCACCCTGGGGGGCAGCAAACAGCTGCTCTGCTAAGAGGGCACGAGCCCCCTTGGCAGGCCGGGGACTCCCACAGTGACAGGGGCAGAATGTGAAAGCAAGAAGTGGGGGGAGAGAGGACAGTGACAACCTCAGGAGAGGAGACAAGGCTTTTCTGTGTGAAAAACTCCATGCTTAGGGAAGGTCCATGCTCTGATGCAAAATCGTCTAGGGTGTCCTCTTCCATCGTCTGTGCCAGCACGGAAACCCCAGCACCCATGGGGAGAGAGAGAGACAGAGAGAGACAGAGACAAAGAAAGAGAGAGAGAAAGAGAGAATTTGAGAAGGAATGAAGGAACAAAGGGTGGGTAGGTGGGTGGAAGGATGGGTAGATGCATGGACAGATAGACAGACAGAGGTCACAGCTGTGCCAGCTTTAGATGCTCCATTCACATCTCTGCACTTGATATATTTGATAATAAAAGAGATGTGGGGTGAAATCCCTCTTCCTCTTCACAGCCGAGCATTTTGATGAGGGGGGGCACGAGCCCACCCTGGAGCCCTCGGTCTCCGGTCGTGCTGGGCACCAGCAGGCACACAGGCATGTCCCAAATCCCCTGCAGAGAGACCCCAGCCCAGCCACCCACAGTGCCCCAAGCCCTCCCCGCAGCCCAGCCCCATGGCAAGGCTGTTTCGGGGTGAGGGGCAGCCAGGGCAGAGCAGCCTCTCTGTGTGGCACCCACCCTGCCCAGAGCCATGCCACTGCTGCGGGCACAGAGATGCCCCTGGAGGGGAGAGCAAGGAGGAAGGGTCCCTGGCAGGGAGAGAGCATCCAGAGTGGCAGTGGGGACACTCTTGGCACACACTGCCTGCACCAAGCCCAGCAGGACCACAGGCCACAGAGCACCCAACTGTGCCACATCCACATCACTCATGCAGCACTGGGGGCTTTGTCCTGGCACCCCAACTCCAGCACCCTCCTATCACTCCCATGGTCCCAGTGCAAAGCCAGCAGGCAGAACACCCAAAGGGGAAGATGTGAATGTAGAATGCCAGCACAGCACCACTCACCCTCCACCTCCTCGCAACACCCAGGTCCTGCTGCTGAGAGCACAACAGGGCACCTCTGTGCAGGTGCCTGGTCCCACTCTGCTCGAGACACCCTCAGGCAGAAGCTGCACCAGCACTGCCCTGCAGGCTGCTGGTGTGAGGGGTGAGGAAAACCCCATCTTATGGGCCAATAGAGCCACAGGTACTCCCAAAACACCCCCAGAGGAAGAGCTGTTCAGTCCCCTACAATGCCCAGGCACACAGGGAGATTCCTGCCAGCAGTGTAAAAATGGTTAGTGTGATGCAAAACCTAGAGACACCCCTCCCCGCACCCTGTGTCCCCAGCATGGCACTCCCACTCGGGGCAGCACAGGAGCAGAGCCCCAGAGCTGAGGGACACCTCCCCACCGGATCCTGATCCCCTCTGTAAGAGAAGCAGCAGAACAAACCTCACTGGCCTTTTCAGGTGTTCCCTTTGGTGTTTCATCCTCATGCTTGGGTGAGGAAGAGGCTGGTGAAGAAGGCAGCCTCCTGTCCCGGTCCCTGTGAACCAGCTTGCTATTGGGCTCCTTCAGGGTCCGCTTCAGCTCATTAATGCTGGCCTGATGCTTCAGCAAAACATCCTCTGGCTTGTCTAAAAACTTGGGAAGGAGAGAGGAAAGGAGCAGTGATTAAAGCAGCAGCCAAGGCCAAAGGGATGAGCAGGGGCACTGGGAGGGTTTGTTCACCCTGGGCTAGAATTTAGTCTCAGTAGCCAAATGAGGAGCGTGTAGGAGACCCCTGGTCTGCAGGTCTCACTGCGGGGGGAGCAGCTCTTTCACTGCAGGAGGTAGCAGAAAGGCAGCATAGAGCCAAATACACATGGCAGGGGAAGGGCATGGCATGTCCTGGCAGCATCTTCAGGACTCCACGTCCTCCTGGCTGAGGATAAACTAAGCCTCCTGGAGAGGAGAATGGGCTCTCCCTTGGGATCAGCAAGGGATGGGGCCCCGTTGGAAACACCAGTAGCCTCCTCTGCTCCTCTCTGGCACCAGGCTCAAAGGGAGCCCCAGGCTCTGTCCCAGCAGGGCAGGTGACCAACATTTCCAGCAGAGCTGCTCTGAAATGGGCTCTGCCAAAGGGCTGGAGGTCAAGGCCTGGGCAGGGATATCCAGCATGGATCCAAGCCTGGATCCCCATGGACCAGCCTGGGGTGGGTGGGGTGGGTCTGACCTGCTGTGGAGAGAGGACAGCTCAGACTGTTCAAGTGCAAGGTGGGGTTCAGGTGTTAGAGCAGGACATAGCGAGGGCCCAGGCGCCAGGGTGGCCCCCTCATCCTGCCACAGAGGTGGGCAAACCAGCTCCGAGCAGGAACCCTGGTTTCTGCTTCCAACCCAAATTCAAACCTCTTCTGAGGTTTGAAAGGAGGCACCTAAATACCTCCCTAGTACCTCGTCAGCAACAGCCCAGAGACCCATGAGAGTCTCAGGAAAAAGCCCACCAAATTTTCCAGATCCCAAAGGCTCAGCACAACTCAGGAAAACTCCCAACCTGGACCCACATGTGTGAGCCACGGAGAGCTCAAGTGTGCCCACCTCTGGGCTCAGGGTGTGCCGGGCCGGGGCGCAGCACATGCACATGCAGTGGGGAAGCAATGAGGTGGGTGGGGGGGCTGGGACCAGTGCCCACTGCCCACTGCCCTGGCGGGGTCTGCCCCTGTGGTGCTGAGCAGGATGGTGAGGCTGTGTGGTGCCAGCGTGGACAACCACATCACATAGCCATGCTTGCTCCCATCAACAGCTGCAGCGAGGATCTACATCCCACTGTAACTGGAGGGGAAACTCCCAGGGAGCAACTGTGGATTTTAGGCCAGGATGAATCATTCCTGATGGGGCCACCAGGGACATGGCAGTTTGTACAGGGAGGGCTCAGCTTCCCTGTTCTCTGCTCAGCCCATTCTCAGGGTGGACAGACACTGGGTGGGTGCCAGTGCTGGCCCCTTGGGGCAGCTCAGAGCCCCTTTGCCCCATGAGGGTGGGATGGCAGCTGCAGCGCTGCGGGGAGCCCCAGCCTGGCTCTCATGGGGAGTGGGGGGCTGCAGGAGAGCGGAGCCACCAGGCAGGGCGGTGATGAGTCAGTTTGGGTCAGGCAAGAGCAGAGCGTGGGTCAGGGTGGCAGCGGGAGCGATGGGACCAGCTGCACAGGAGACACAAGGCAAGGTTAAGGCAGGGTCAGTAACACAAACAGAAGCCAGGTCACCCCAATGGGCCAAGGCCTTCCTGCCCCTGAGAGGGCTCACAGGTAGGATCAGGACCACCTTACTTAGTGGGATAGAAGATGCCACACGCGCTGGGCTGATCCCCAGCTGTCTGTTCATTGGGCTCCTCCAGCACCCAACCCCCTGCCCGACGCATCTTGTATTCCAGTAAATAGGGTGACACATGGAGTTGTTTTGGGAAGGATGGACAATATGATGCATCAATGAGGACTAAGATACTCCAGACAGAGAATACCTCCTGCTTGTGCCTGGGGGTTGTTTCGTGCTCCAGCTGGCAGCAAAGAGAGGGTTAAAAGTAACCAGCAGGTTACGAAGGAATTTGTCACAAACATCACAGTTAAGTTGATGGGCTGGTAGGGACACCCTCTCCCCTCGAAGTGGGGCTGAAATGGGCTGGGACAGCCCAAGGACCAGGGCAGGCAGTGGGTGGGCTGTGCACGGGCAGTGGGGGGAATGAACGGGCACCCATGTTCCTGGCCTGTCCCCATCCCCATCCCTGTCCCAGACCGGGACTGTTCCCAGATCTGGCCCTGCCTGGGGAGGAGCCTTTAGATCACCTGGAGGGCTCTGGGGACTCAGTTAAACCAAACCCCTCTGACCGCCTCACTTCCACAAGTGGGGCCAAGAGCCATATCCCAGGGGTCCCACCAGCCTGGGGCTCAGCTGACACAGGCAGGGCTGCAGGGTACTGTGCACCGAGGTGACCCTTCCTGCCTGCAGCCCAGCCCTGCTGCCTGTGCCTGGTCCCTGTCTGCCTACCCCTCCACCCCCACCCTCCTCTGCCCACCTCGGCTGTACCTTCAGCTCCTTGATTTTCGTCGGGGTGGTCACCTCCTCATCCTCCATTTCAGACTGCCTCCTGCTGCCAAACTCACCGTCCTCATCCTGCTTCTCACCCTCCGCCCCAGCATCATGGTTCTCGCTGACGGAGGCTGGACGTGAGAACTCTGCCCGTGGGGGAGAGCCCGGGTCACTGCAGCCCTGCCACCCCCATTCCTCCCCCATTCCCCCACCCCCTGCCCCTACCCTGCTAGCTCTTACCTGGGGATCAAGGAGCCCCAAACGCCCTGCAGCAGGGACAGATGGTCCCAGGTGTCCTAAGGCACAGGGAGCTGGGGGGAAGGTGTCCCCAAGCTGCCCAACCCCAGCCCTGCCATATCCCCCTGCTCACACACAATCTCAGCAACCACTTGGGGTGGGGATAGACCCTCTGCCATGGGGATGCAACTGGGGACAGCCCCCAGAAGGAAGCCCAATGCTGCTGTGACCCTGCTCAACTCAATGAGGCAAAGTAGAACCGAGCCGAGCAGCACCCGACTGCTCCCGCCAGCGGACCAATCTCCCTCCCCCTCCCCAATTTGGGGCATACCTCCATCAAGGCTGCGAGACATGGTGTACCGTTTGCTGGAGGAGCGCTCGAAGAACGGAGCTGGGCGGTCGATGAGGGCACTGGCCTGTCGCGTCTGCGCCTGCGTCCGCCCACTGTACCGAAACTTGGAGCCCATCACCAGGAAGCCCTTGGGGGGTGGCTCTGGGGACACCAGCCTAGGGGTCAGAGGGGAGGAGGGGCATCAGCAAACCCCAGTCAGGCCCCCCGGCACTGTGCCCCACATGTACCCACTGCAACAGAAGCAGAAGCATGTCTGCCTCCCAGAAGGGAGGCCGGGAGAAGGTGTCCTCACCTGAAGAAGGTGTGATGCTCTATGCAGACCTTCCAGAGCCGCTTGGCTGAGCGGTGGTTGGGCAGCTTGAAGCCAATGGTGCTCTCAAACTGTTCATACTTGGGAGAGACGGATATAGGCTGTTACAGGCACATCCTGCCCTAGGGGACATGATGGGATAGGACCTTGCCAAAGCCCTCAGGCTCCCCTGGCAGGAGCCATGACCATACAGAAAAACCCCAAAAGTCTTCTTCAAAGCTGTGCTGGGAAGGTCCATGCCACCCAGCAGGGTGATGGGATCACTGCCCACGCCTCTGGCCTAGGCACTTCCCTCAGCTGTAAATGGCTTTTCAGTGCAAGATGAATTCCTCCAAGAAACAAAAGCTTTTACAGCTGTTTTGGTGTGAGGGTATCGCTCTCCCTTTCAGATGTGCTGCCATTCCAGCCTGTTGGAAGACCCGGGGGGAAATGCATTCTCCCACCAGTGCACATAGAAGAGCAAAAATAAAGTCTGAAAATGAATGAAAAAATCTCCTGATGTTTTTTTTGTGAAGACACGCCAAAAATGGCCCTCAACTTCCCTTCCTGGGCAAACTCCCCACACCAGCAGGGTCATGGTGTATGTCAGGTAGGGATGGGAACCTGGGGCCCCTCAGCTGCTGAAGTCACGAGAGCATAGACAAGAAAATCCACGCCACAGGAGATGTGCTCTCTTGGACAGTGTGGTCATTCATGTGGGACCCTTGGGACAGAGGCTGGAGCCAGGTGAGGACATCCCCACTATCAGCCCCAGTGCCCACCATCAGCCCCAGTCCCACAGGACAAGCACTCTGCTGTGTCCCAGGGCTGCATGGGCACCTGGCACCCACCTCACCCGGGCGGATCTTGATGTAGAAGTTGCTCCTCTTGTAGGAAATTTTAAGGATCTTGGGCCAGGCGAAGCGGTTGATGCGCAGCCGGTCCCTGTAGATGAGGAGGCCGTTGGCGCAGACGCCCAGCATGATGTCAATGCCCTCTGAGTCCTGGAGGAGGGAAGGGGACAGGAGGGAACAGTTCAGTTAGCGAAGCAAGAACAAGCCTGGCCAATAGTGCCGTGCTCCCTCCTGCTAGGTGCTACGGGGGCCCTGAACCCCAGGTTGGTTGATCTCTGGAGCTCCTCTGGTCCAACACTCAGAGCCACCTAGAGCCATGCCAGGAGTGTGTCCTCACTGAGCCTTCACTCTGGGAGGAAGGGGTGGGCAAGAGGGGTGTGCAGGAGCAGGGTGGGATGGTGCTGACCACGGCTCTGGGAGCCCCATGGCCCCATACCTTGGCGTGGTGCAGGTCCACCCCGTACATGGAGAGCTTCTTGGCATTCTCCAGGAAGTGGACCTCTGCTTCCCCAGGGGTCATTCCGCTGCAGGGAAACAGAGAGGGGGACACGTAGGCAGGTGCCCCACCAGGTGAGGGTCAGCTCTCCAGTGCCATCCCCTCTTGGAGCTCACCGGTAAGTCTTGTGCAGCTCCATGATGCGTTCCTCCAGCTCCCGTGTCTGGTTGGGGGCGAAGCGGAGCTCACTGACATAGTTGCCCACGTGCTCTTCGGTGTCGTGGTCGCCCAGCTCGGCCTGGACAGCGTAAGAGCCCAGCAGAGCATGGGTGACGAAGGAGCAGGGCAGGCGCCCCGTGATGATGTCTGCACGGAGCTGCAGGCACAGGTAGTATCTGCAGGAGGGGGGAGAGGGTGAGAGTAGGGTGAGGGCATGTGCCCCCTGAGCAGGCTGGGGCTACCTGGGAGGGAGACGTGTGCCCCTCAATGCAGGCCGGGGCTCCCCAGGAAGGAGGTGTGTGGTCCCCACCTTGTGATGTCCTCTGTGAGCTGGGCAGGGTCTGGAGGGTAGAACTTCACAGTGAAGGCAAAGTTCCAGGGCCCACCTAGAGAGGGGAGAGGGCAGTCAAGACAGCACCCGTGAGGCTGCACACAGGGTGTAGAAGCATCCATGCATCCCCTAAGCCTGGCACAAGGCAGGGACAGGGGGCTGCAGAAGCTGCTTGGAGCACAGCCCTTGGGATACCAGCATGACCTGGTTAATCCTTCCCAAACGGCTGGGGAGAGAAAAGCATCACAGCTTCAGAAGCCATCAGCTCCTGATCATTATCACAGCATCACTGTCACAGCAAAAGCCTCCTGTGTCCCAGAAAATGACACCTTGGACTATAGGTGTCATTTCTGCCATCCCAGCAATGCAACATCATGGGCAAAGGCCCCAGGACGTGTCCCAGCAAGGACCCCCACTTTTTCCCCCCGTCCCTCTCCTCCCTGCTCAGGGCAAGTGGTGCTCAGAGAGGCACCATGTCTCAGCTCTGGTGGCACAGATGAGGTCCTTTGCCCCCCAGCGCCTCTCATGAGTAAGAGGAGAGGTGGGTAACACTTAGCTGAATGAGCATCAGCATCCCTGTCCCCAGGCCAGCTGGCAAAGGTCCTCTCTAGAGCAGGTGAGAAGGGGACACACTGTAGGACAGCCACAGCTGAGCTATCCTGGAGCTCCATGGGATACCCCAGGGCTGGGAAGGATGCACCCTCCCTGGGCACTTACTGCGGATCTGCTTCTTGATCTCCTTGGAGGGGTCCAACCAGTTCTGCAACAAGGAGACAGCTGGTCAGGGGGGTCCCCACCATGCAAGGGGCAGCTGTAGAGGGACCCCGCCGTGCTCACCTTCTGGCTGTCTGAGTCACAGAAGGTGAGACCGAAGTAGTCCTTCTCCAGGAGGTTGAGGTGCTCGCACACCATGTCAAAGAGGACCTGGCCTCGGGCGTGTTTCTGTCAGAGACATGGAGAGGCTGATGGTGAGCTGGCTCAAGGGAGACCCTTCAGGTGACCCCTAAAAGGTGCTCTCATCTGGCAGTGGGTTTCACCATGCCCCATCCCTGCAGCCCTGGGATCACCTGGGCTTTGCACCACTTTGGGGACACCCAGGTGGTCCCTGGGCTGCAGGGATGGGCTGCTGGTGGTAGCAGTGGTGGGATTCCCAAGTAGAGCATGGACAAACGAGAGCCACTAAGAGCCCAGGCCATGTGCAGCAATGGAGGGCACCCTTGGTATAAACAAATCCCAGAATGGTTTGCGTTGGAAGTGACCTTAAAGATTGTCTAGTTTCACCCCCCTGACATGGGCAGGGACACCTTCCACTAGACCAGGTTGCTCTAAGCCCCATCCAACCCAGTCTTGAACACTTTGAGGAATTGGAATTCCCCTGAATTTCTCTTTGTTACTGGTGGCAGTGAGGCCCAGGCTCCCTCATGGACACTGAAGAACAACCCTTCCCACGTGTGTATCTCCCCGATTTCCAGCCTGGTAGCTCCCATCTCCAATCTCCCCCCTCCAAGACATCCATTTACTGGAGCAACTTTACCAGGTGCCCCCTAGGATGGCAGCACAGCACAGCAAGCAGCACAGCACAGGCTCCTGCTTGCCCTCCAAAGCTTTTCCAGTACTTGCCATCAACTTTCCTGGGTCTTCTCCCTCCTTCCAACTTGGGTTTGAAGGTAGGGGCTCACCCATGGCACACGCTGGGGTGTCACACTGAACAGTTTTACTCCCCCATTTGATTTTGACTGAATTAAGGTTTAATTAAAACATAGGAAAAAGGCACAACTATTCCAACAGCGTCTGCCAGAAAAAAGAAGAAATGCAGCACTGGACTTTCTACCCCTAACCCTGTCCTCTGTGCCCCAGATGGAGAGCAGCACCTGTCTAAAAGTTGACCCCATTCTTGGGCAATGTGGCAAGGGGTATTGCTCTGCTCTGCTCTGCCAGCACCTGTGACCTGAGATTCTCCTGGCATCCCCGTTTGGTTGGCTAGTGCTCTGGGAAGAGCCAGGGGAAAGATGACCCCACTGGGGCTCATGAGCCACCCTTGTGCCCTGTCAGCTCCTTGAGGTGCTCTGCTCCTTTCCTCCTTCGGGAAGTCTTTTATCTTGCTGCCAACTCATCCTTCTACAGCTCTGTGAACAATTTTACCACTAAAGTGACAGCCAGGGCTGCTGGAGCACAGAGATCAAAGGCTCTGCTGCCTGTGCCATGGGCAGGGACATCCCCTCCCCCGGCTTCCTCGGGGTGTTCCCTCCTCTCAGGCAGCCACACTCCCTACATTCATCAATCCCACGCAGCTGAGACCTGGATCAGCCAGGACCTGCATACAGATCCTCTCCATGCAGCCAGCTTCAAGCTACTGACAGCAAACACCCGGTTACCTACTTGCCACAGCAAGGGCAAAGGTCTCCCTGGAAAAGGCTCTCAGATTTCTTCTTCTGAACAACCTCAGCTTTTCATTTTTAAGCAAAGTTGCTAGTCCCTAAAAATGTCCCTCCCTCCCTCCGGGCTCATGGCGCACATTGGAGCAGCACTGCCTTCTCAGCCTGCAGGCAGGAGACAGAAGGAAGTGCTGGAGATGGAACAGCTGCTCCCTCCGTCCCTCACTGCAGGCACTGCCTGGTGTCTGTCCCCTCTGTCCCTCCCTGCCGTGACACCCACTACCAGGGAACAGTGCACACCCACGTACACCCGTGTGTGCCCATGCCATGTGCCTGTGATGATGCCTAACGAGTGGGTGCCCTCAGACCCAGAGAAGGGTGCTGGACCACCTGCCTGTGCACCCTGCCCTGCCTGCATGCACGAAGATGCAGCCACAAGGATGTCCACATGTGTTCACTCTCATGTGCACATGCACACACGTGACACTACCTCGCCGTGTGCTCACTGGCCCACCAGCTCCATGGGGAGGGACAGCAAGGGAGAAGAAGATGAACACAGAGAAGATGGACACAAAACCACCTGGGGCAGCCAGGAGGGCCCCTGCATGTCACCTCCTTTGCACCGACACGTGTACAGATACCCGTGTGCACACAACCCCTGCACACATGGGACAGCCAACACACCGTGCTCTGGAGGTGCCGCAGCCGGGCTGGCACCAGGTGTGTAGTGCACGCACTGTCAGGCAGAGCTCTACCCCCAGCCATAAAGTTTCCAATTTAGACACTGTTTTTTGTTGTGAGTAGCTGCCAAATTTGCCTTCACTGGGCTGAAATTCCCTGCTGGGGTCTGTCTTTCCAGATTTTTTCCTTATGTTGAAATTTCAACTTAAATGGCTATTTCTGTGGATACTTTTCCCTAGGAGAGAGGTACGACAAAGCTACTTGCAAGAGCCCTGACATGAGGACTCGCTGGGCTGGGCAGATTCCCTGGGCTGAGAGTGTCCCCTCCTTGGTGCTAGCACAGCCACTCAAAGCCAAGACTCACCTCCACCTCACACTCATACTCGGAGGCATCAAGCAGGGTCACCCTGCACAGGGCACTCTTCACTTTCTTGGTGGTTTTCTGGGGTGACTTCTGGGTCTTGCTGGGGGTTGTTTTGTCAGAGAGCCCATCTGTCTCACTGTAGTCCTTGTCCTCCATGTCTGTGCCCTGGAATGGGGAGACACAGAATGTTACCTGGCACCACCGCCAGGATGGACACACAGAGGGGGAAAGCCCTCCACAGCAGGCAGCTGGTGGCAGGGAGGCTGATGACCTCTTAGGAGTCCTCAGTCGAGCCTAGTTTTCCCAACCCACACTGCCAGCACAAGCCAGGTCCCTGGAAAATGGTCACCTGGGGGCAGTTCAGCACCCAAAACCTCCTTGCCCGACAGCTCAGCTCCCTGGCAACTCTGCAGCCAATAGCGGGTGCGGCTGCTGCTCCCAGCCCTGCCCAGGGCAGCTCAGCAGGGGACACGGGACCACTTGCTCCCTCCCTGTGCCCCGACCTGCACTGCCATTCCCAGCCCCGTCAGCATTCCAGGCTGCCGCATGGCTCCTTCTGCCTGTCCTGCCCTGCCTGCAAGGAGCTGTGTGGGCAGCTGTGCAGGCAGCTGGCAGAGCCACCACCACCCTGGCTGGGGGGGCTCCCCTCCAGTACGTTCCCCTCGGGCACAAGGGATGTGCCCACTTCACTGGGCTCCTGCAGCCCCCGCACCGCAGCAAGGCCACAGTGACGGACAGCAGTGAGCGGTGGCACACCCTCTCCTCTGCTGCGCCTCCCCCTCCTGCCTCTCGTGGCACCCGTCCGTCACCCACTCACTGGCTCCATATTTCGGGCATCGGACTGTGCCCCGGGCTTCTCGTTGGCGTCGCTGTCCCGGCCGGTGGGGTTGGGGGCTGCGGTGGGGCCGTGGGCAGCCGCCTCCAGCTGCTGCTGCGGAGCCTCTTCCTGCGCATTCCTCACCTCCGACCCGGGGCCCGTCTCCGTGGTCATGGCTGCTGGTCACCTCGCTCTGCCACCGCCACCCGAGGAAGAGACAGGAGGGGTCACTGGGGTCACACGGGCATGGACGACGTTGGCTAGGCAGCCAGCAGCTGGGATGCCCTGGCTGCACGGGAGCCTTGGGACAAGCCCATCTCTGCCCCACTGCCTGCATGCATGGATCCGCTGCCAGACCCCGGCTCCCTGTCCACTCACGGATCCGCTGCCAGACCGCGGCTCCCTGTCCATGCACAGATCCACTGCCAGATACGAGCTCCCTGTTCTTGCATGGATACTCTGCCAGACCTCGGCTCCCTGTCCACTCATGGATCTGCTGCCCAGTGACAGGGACCCACCACAGGCAGGGCTTGGCTCACGCCCCATCTCTGCACTCACAGTGGGCAGTGAGGCTGCCCTGACCCCCTGCTCCCCCCAGCCCTGCACCCATAGGTACCTTCACTCATGTTTTTTAGCAGTGGGAGGAAAAACAAGGCTGTGAGTCAGGGGAAAGCCTGCACTGACAAAGGAAATGACAAACATATTCCCACGGTCGGCGTGGGACCCTGTGGAGCAGCGAGATTCCTGCCTCCAGCCCCAGCTGCCTGTCCAGTGTATGATGCAAAAACAAACCCAGGGCCAGGAACAGCGAGGGGAAGGTACTTTCCATGCCGGGGTGCTCAGCAACATGTTTTTAGAACATTTATGTTTTTGAAACCTTTTATGCCAATGTAGTGTGGGCTGGCAAGAGCTCCCGGGATGATCCATGCACCAAGGTCATGGAGCACCCTCTGGACCATCACCCACCTGTCACTCAGGCTGCTCAGGCCCCACCAGCTCCCCATCAGTCTGTGCAAGATCTGCTGGGATTGCCCCCATTGGAGTGTCCGAAGGTTGTGGTTGGACGAGGCAGCTCAATCAGAGCATCTCCCTGGGGTCACATCACCCACCCTGCCCATGGAACAGCCACACCAGCAGCCCTGAGTAATGCCTGCAGCACCATAAAACCTGCACTTTAGTGGAGTGTGTAAGCCCACACAGGATATTTCTGATCCCCATTCCAATTCCAACCCCCTGCCATGGGCCGGGACACCTTCCACTAGACCAGGTTGCTCCAAGCCCCATCCAACCTGGCCTTGAACACTTCCAGGCATGGGGCAGCCACAGTTTCTCTGGCCAGCCTGTGCCAGGGCCTCACCACCATCACATGGAAGAATTTCTTTCCAATATCCAATCCAATCCTGTCCTCTGGCAGTGGGAAGCTATTGCCCCTTGTCCTGTCTCTCCAGACCCTGGTAAAAAAGTCTTTCTCCATCTTTCTTACAAGCCCCCTTCAGGCACTGGAAGGGGCTCTAAGGTCTCCCTGGAGCCTTCTCTTCTCCAGGTGAACCCCCCCAGCTCTCCCAGCCTGGCTCCAGAGCAGAGGGGCTCCAGCCCTTGGAGCATCTTCGTGGCCTCCAACAGGTTGATGTCCTTGTGCTGAGGACCCCAGAGCTGGAGGCAGCACTGCAGGTGGGGTCTCACCTAAGCAGAGCAGAGGGGCAGAATCCCACCCTCACCTGCTGCCCACAGTGTGGAATGAGCCCAGGACATGACTCGTTTCTGGGTACCAGCACATATGGCCAAGTCACATCCAATTTGTCACTGACCAGGACCCCCAAGTCCCTCTCCCCAGGGCTGCTCTCAACCCACCCAGCCCTCAGCCTGTGCTGATGCTCGGGGCTGCCCTGACTCAGATACAGGATCTTGCACTTGGCCTGGTTGAACTGCATGAGGTTCACATGAGCTCACTCCTCCTGCCTGCCCAGGTCCCTCTGGATGCCACATCCCTGGTGAATCTGCTGCACTGCTCAGGCTCAGTTCAGTGTCACCCACGGACTTGCTGACTTTCTGTTACAAAGCAAACCCATCCCACGCCACAGCTCCTGTTCCTCCACCGCCCTTCAGGTGTCCTCAGCAGTGGGAAAATATGAAACCTTACCCATAAAAATGGCTAAAACTGACTCCAGGGGTGAGAGAGAACAGAGAGGAGGTAACAGAGAAGACACAGGAGTCAGCCTGTGCCTCCTGCCACCAGATTCGGCAGTGCAGGATCATCTGGGAGCATCCCCCTTCCATGCACACAGGTCAGTGACGCTGCTGCTGGCCATGCTGGCTGTGTGGTCACCACAGAGGGACTCTGTTCACACCAACAGGCCCAGGATTTCACCACCCTGCCCCAGGGCCACACTCTTCTGGCCATGACAGGCAGGACAACCTGCCACAGGCCCCTGAGCAGCATTAGTTCAGCTCCTCCTGACAGACCCCACTGCTTGGCCAAGGGCACCAGAAGCTTTCAAGGGTCACCAGTGGTTTGGTTTTTTCCACAGAGAAAACAGGGCTGCTGTTTTTCCACTGCAAATTCAAGCAGTTGCATGCTCCCAGCTCCAATCTTTGTCTGGATCATTCCTAAGTGCTTCTGCCTGGATCTCAGTGTGTGAATTTTTTAATCAATATGAAATCTCTCAAATGATAACCATCCCTTCAGGCCAAAAAGACGCTGGGTTTTTCACTTAAGGTTTCTAAACTTTCTTCCAAACTACTTTTTCCCTCCGCAGTGGGAAGCATTGATCCCTGAGGAAATAAGGTCTTTTTTTAAGGGTAGTAGGCTAGGAATTCATCCCACCTTGCCCAGCCAGACCTACTTTTGCATATTAAGCTCCAGTTCCAAGCAAGGAGCCTGACCTAGGGACCCTGACTACCAGCTGAAGCCCGTGAGAGCACAACACAGCAGTGCCGGGGTGGCAGACCCCTGGTAAAGGAGCTGGCAAACTCCCAGGGACCATCTCCCTGCTCACATCATGACCTTGCTTCTCCTGCCACCCTGCTTTGGAACCCTGGCCACCATCCCCCTTCCCTGGTCCCAGTAATTCCCACTGCACGCTCTTCCCTCCTGCAGCACCACGTGTCTCTGTGCCTGGGCAGAGACACAGGGCTCTGTACAGCCACAGAGGAAACCCCAGCTCAGATGGATCCCAGCCCAGAAAGGGCCCATTGAGCCCATCCCTGTGGCATTGCTCCTGCCCCAGCAGTGTGGAACACAGGGGGGAGGATCAAGCCCCTCCAAACTTTGGATGGGCTCAGGAGGAGCAGGGAGCCCCTCAATCTCTCACCTTGCAGCCATGGTGGGGAGACTCCAGTCCCCACACAGGGTCATTGCTGGGGTATGAGGGTCAGGGAGCTGCCCCAAGGGAGTTGGGGTTGGCAGTGGGGCAGTGGCCCTGGGCATGACACTACTGCAGCTGAGCCCTGCAGCTGCACGGCCCCAGTGGAGGGGCCACACTGGCACCGCCACGCTCCTGGGCACAGCCACAATGTCTGCATTCAGGGGTTGGTGGGTGTGGGTGCCACAGCCGCGTGGGCAGTGCTGCTGCTCAGTGCTGCTGCCCACAGTGGGGCTGAGTGGAGAGGTCGGGAGCACGGAATCAGGCCTCTGCCAGCACTGCCACTCACCCCAATGCTACTGGCAGCCAGGGGGCTCAGGGCTGGCTGGCACTGAAGGTCAGCACCAGCCTGGCAGCACCAAGCCCCTGGGGATGGTGGCACCAGCCCCTAGAGCTCTGGCCAGCAGTAGGATCCACCCTCCATGGAAGCCTGGTCATCTGCTCCCGAGGCTGTGGGAGGACACCAAGGCCAACATGACCACCAGCACCCCAACTGTCCCTTGTGCCAGGCTGGGAGTGTTCAGCACCCTGAGGGCACCTGCAGGCTCTGAAGGGACCTGAGATTCACAGTGAGGCAATCACTGCAACCTGCCTCAGCCCCTTCTCCCCACTTTTTTCCCCATGGCCTTTTCTGTGGCATTCGAGAGCTCCAGAAGCAGATGTTGGTTATCATGGGAGCAGCTCTGTGGCTCAGACAGGAGCTGCCCCTGATGTGGAGGTGGCAAGCAAACCTCAGACAGCACGCAGCAGCCGTGAAGTGCTGCCTATCACACAGCACCTTCTGGATGCAGAACTCAGCTTCTGCTGCCCTCCCCATGCAGGAGACTCTGGTGTGGGGGACCATGGGTTGAGAAAGGACACAGGTCCCAGCGTGCTGCCAATGGAATAGTTTCACTGACGATTTCCACCACAAACCTTTAAAAGAGATATACACCACAACTGCAGCGAACTGGGTAGAGACAAATAGAGATGCTGTCCCAAATAATTTTTTTCTAAATATTTCCCACAGAAGGAGCAGGACCCAATTCCGTTGGGTGCCAGCCTTTACCAGGCTGTCCCAGCCCTTCCCAGTACCTAGCCTTTCTCGTGCATGTCCCCTTGGGAGTGCAGCCAAGGCTGGAGCAGCTCCCATGCTGAGGCTGGCAGTTGCCTGGCAGCAGCTGGAGAAGGCAGGAGGCATCGGACACCGTCCCCCCAGACCCTTCCCCATGCAGGATGATGGCCGAAGGGTTCCTCTGCACCCATCGGCCCCGGTGCCATGCACCCAGTTTTCAGTAAGGCCACGTTTTCAGCACAAGCCCAGTTTCCAGCAAGGGCTGGCTCAATTCTGCTGCCGCTGGACCCCTATGGACTGGGGGTTGTTCTCCTAAGGGGAAATGGCTGGAGCTGAAAGGAGCCCCAGGCTACTGGAACAGGCACGTGGGAATGGCAACTGCAAAGAAAGCCTTAGCAGGATCAGAGGCAGACCTGCTGGTCAAGCCTGCAATCTCCTCCCCTCATCTCCCTGCCTGCTCCTCCTTCCCTTGGTGTTTTCCTCTTCCTCCCCCTTCAAGCCAGAGTATGGATTCACAGCTTTCCCAGATGCTCTGCCCCAGCACTTCCCCAGCACATCCTGCCTCCAGCGTCCAAAATGCTCCCCACTCAGAACCTTCCCTTCCCTGCCACCTCCAAGCTGGTTTTGCTGCAGCCTGCTCTCCCCTTCCCCTGCCCAGTCACTCCCAGCTGCCAGGATGGTTTCCAGGGCTGACCATCCCCCTTTGCTACTTGGCTCTGTTTCCCCCCCCACTCTCTGCCGAGGCTGTTGCCCATCCCTGAGGTTTAACCTCTGGACCATCACAGTCCTGGGCAGATCCT